ATTTAGCTTTCATGTATTGGTACGTGAAATTTTCAGTGGGAAATTCCTCAGCGTAGGAGTCAGACGTCATAATAACTATTTTCTCACACTGGAAAGTGTAAAACAGTTATACTTTTAGAAGGCAAGTGTTCGCTGGACGGAACTACGCAAAAGCATGATCGCACTGGCTACTTTGTGCGCGCCACGATTTATTATTGTAGAAAATTGTACACCTTCATTCCTCATTGCTTATCTGGTGCCGTTGATTCAGTTCTTTTACGTTTAATCATACAAAATGATGGTATGGCATAGAAATCCCGTCTTTTTTTCCTGGGAAACGGTCAAATTTTTGCGTGAGTAGAATAAAGCAAAATTTTCCTGAGGGAGCGTGAGATACAGCTGAAAAAGCAGCGTTGATATTTTGACATACCAAGTGGAATAATATTCGAGTAAATGGGCACTGAAACATAGTACTGCTTCAAAAAATTATCATTTTTGAGTCTGAACAAAAAAAAAGGGCTAAAACCGAGGTGTAAATCCCTTCTCGTTATTTGAAGCTTTACAGTTTTCTAAAATTTATAGATTGAGTTGACAAACCATACATTTGCGTGCTGAGAGAGCTGTGATATTCCCTTTTTCGAAATTTTCCACGTGATCGTCCGTTGCCTCCAAAACGTCTCATCGGAGTAAAATGGGGTACAAATTTTCCGCGTCCGGACACAGCCTGTGATCCAAGAACTAAATAAAATTGCCTCATTATGTGGTACCAAAATCGTATCATCCTATGGTTTTCGTATTGGTCTTACTAAAGGTTGTTCCAACCTGAAGTTGCTGCGGTTGGGCCATCAATTTGTATGTCCGGGAAGCCACCGATCATATCCTTATTCGTATTCATATGGTTCAATTGTTGTCGAATTTCATTCTCTTCACGGGCTAAAACTGTCAGATTCTCAAGCATTCAGAAACTGATAACGGTGAGCAACGCCTTGCTATTAGAGAACTTAAAGAATTGTAACCTACGGATGTATGTGTCACGAAGGGAGACCCTGTAAATAGGCCAAATCGAACTGAACTCAATTTACTCTCTCCGAATCCATAAAAGCGGTGTTGCCAAACATCATCGGTCCATGAATAAAAGGGCCATAAAAGGCTCAACCAAAATTGGAAGCTCCAAGCAAGGCCGCCGAAAACGGTGAAACTGTCAAGTGGTTTTTTGTGGCCGTTGGTAGGCCGAAACATACTTTCTGAAGTAACGGCCCGTATAAAATAAATAGCAACGCGCACCAGACTAGCCGGTGCGATCATACGTTTTGTGCAAATCAGCCCATCGAACGACTGCCTATTGATAATTTTCACTGCTTTGTACTTTATTTTATGCAAAAATGGTTCACACATTGGAAAACAGTTAAAAATTTCAAACAGCAGCGCATGAAAGCTAAAATCGAAACCTTGAAGGGTGTATATGTTTATCCCGAGTTAATAGTTTACGCGTCAAAATTTTCACGAGGCCGCAGGTGATACTCAAGAGCGCGGGAACGCTGAATTTGAAAAGGGAAGGTTGAGCGTGGGCAGGGGGTGATTACCCTAAAATTTCAGCCTTCTAGAGATATTAATTTACCCGTAAAAAACTTTCACGGGGGCATACGTGTTACCCACCGGTACGAGGAAGCTGAATTTAAATTTATG